CCCTGAGGTGCTGGTGTGGTGAGCCTGTTGTGGGAGGGGGTTCCAGTCCCCTTCTCCATGCCCTGGATCCCTGGGTGGGCCCTGAGGCAGTGGCATGGGGTGCCTGTTTGTCGGAGGGGGGCTCCAGTCCCAGGCTCCATAGTCTGGGTCCCCTTGTGGGCCCTGAGGCACTGGCGTGGGGTGCCTGGTTGTGGGAGGGGAGTTTGGTCCCCTTCTCCATGCCTCGGGTCCACGGGCAGACCCAAGGCACTGGTGCGGTGTGCCTGGTGGTAGGAGGGGGATTTGGTTCCCTTCTCCATGCTCCGGGTCCCAGGGGGGGCCCTGAGGCACTCGTGTGGTGTGCCTGGTTGTGGGAGGGGGGTCTTGTCCCTTTCTCCATGCCCCAGGTCCCAGGGAAGGCCCTGAGGCACTGGCATGCAGTGCCTGGTTGTGGGAAGGGGGTCCAGTCTTTGGCTCCATACCCTGGGTCCCTGAGTGGGCCCTGGGGTGCTGGTGCAGGGTGCCTGGTTGTAGGATGGGGGTCTGGTCCCCGTCTCAATGCCCCAGGTCCCCGGGCAGACCCCGAAGTGCTGGCACAGGGCGCCTGGTTGTGGGAGGAGGGTCTGGTCCCCGGCTCCATAGCCCAGGTCCCTGTGTGGGCCCTGAGGCGCTGGCACAGTGTGCCTGGTTGTGGGATGGGGGTCCAGTCCCCAACTCCATACCCTGGGTCCCCTTGTGGGCCCTGGGGCACTGGTGCAGGGTGCCTTGTTGTGGGAGGGGGGCCGGTCCCCTTCTCCATGCCCTGGGTCCCAGCACAGGCCCCAAGGCGCTGGTGTGGTGTACCTGGTTGTGGGAGGGGGGTCCAGTCCCCTTCTCTGTACCCTGGGTCCCTGGGCAGACCCTGAGGTGCTGGCTCAGTGTGCCCTGGGGGGCGGTCTGGTCCCCATCTCCAGACCCCAGGTCCCAGGGCAGGCCCCGAGGAGCTGGCACAGGGCGCCTGGTTGTGGGAGGGGGGTCTGGTCCCCTTCTCCATGTCCTGGGTCCCCAGGTGGGCCCCAAGGCACTGGCATGGTGTGTCTGGTTTTGGGACGGAGGTTCAGTCCCCTTCTCCATGCCCTGGGTCCCCTGGCAGGCCCCAAAGTGTTGGCGTGGTGAGCCTGGTTGTGGGAGGTGGGTCTGGTCCCCTTCTCCATGCCCCAGATCCCTGGGTGGGCCCCGAGGTGCTAGCAGGATACTGGAGCATTTTGGATTTCAGATTTTTGGGTTAGAGATGCTCAGCCTTTATATATCATTTAATATATATATACACACACACATACATACATCTATATATAAAATATATATACACATGTATATGTAAATATTTTTAAAAGGGGAAATGTGGAACGGTATATCTTTTTGCCTTTTTTTTTCGCTTAAAATATCTTGGATATCTTTCTTGTCAATGTATAGAGAATTTACCTTATTCATTTGAATAAT